TGGGGGAGTCCCTGTTCCCCCAAGCACTACCAGGAGTGACTAGAAATAACGGTCTCAAGCTGGCAGAGGGTAGATTCAGACTAGATACCAGGAGGCACTACTTCACTGTCAGGGCAGCTAGGATCTGGAACCAACTTCCAAGAGATGTGGTGCTGGCTCCTACCCTGGGGGTCTTTAAGAGGAGGCCAGACAAACACCTCACCGGGGTCATTTGACCCCAGTACTCTTTCCTGCCATGGCACGGGGTCAGACTTGATGATCTACTCAGGTCCCTTCCAACCCTACAAACTATGAAAGTGGTAGACTGGTCCATAGCAGATTTCTTGCCTTCCAGGACTAAGGAGGGAGCTCTTGAGGAGGAAGTGCTACAAAGGACCTTTCTTTGGATTTCTACTTTGTTTCTGAAGTGAGTCATGCATAACACACCAAGGCGCCATACAAATTTCACCAAGGAATTTAAAGGCACTTAGTGCCCACTGTTGATAATAGGGTCAGCTCCTTTGCAAGAGGAAGTCTTTGAGACTTGGACTCTGCCATGTCCAGGGAGGTCTTGATATTATAGGTGCTGTAGATTCAGACATCTTCAAATCTAATACAGAATGGTGCTTGTTTTATGACAATAGTCTAAAGGTAATAACTAACTCTGACAACTATCCAATACATTGCATATGCATAGAGATGCAATTACCAAATGTGTTCTGGTTTGCATTCTCAAGCAGTAAGGAACAGGAATGGTTGTAGTCTCTCTGTCCTTTATGCTCATGACCAGAAAGCACCAGAGAACATGGAAGGTACAAACATGGTCCCAGAGGGCACTGCCAGCCCAAGAAGAGTCTCCTGTGCATAGCTATCAGAAGCAGAATATGACCGGACAACTATGTGGCAGAAATGCCACCGTCTGTGCCCCTCTCCAGAGACCTGTCTCTGCCAGCGTGAGAGGCTGGTGTTGAATTCCTCAGGGCGGGGATCTCCCTCCCTGGTCTGCATGACAAATGCTCTGGTCACCTGGGCAGGGGGGAAAAGCCCGTCCCTGCGCGCGGGCCCAGGTAGCCAGGGATGCTTTGTAGATTGGTTGGCTAGTGGCCAGCACTGGCAGCTTCAATTGGACCGGGCTGCTGAGGTCAGAGAGGTTATAAAAAGGCCCAGGCCAGGAAGAAGGAAGCCATTAGCCATGCGGTCACCCAGGTGAATCTGAACCTGGCTCCCTCCTCATAACCGCATGCTCAGCGTGCCCTGCCTCCAGAGGACACCTCTGGACGATGCGTGTGAGTAAGCTGCTCGAGATCAGACTAGATATTTAGCTTCAGTAACTCAGATGCGTGTTTAAACGGCTACCTCAGCCACCCTGGTTTGCTCTATGGGATTCCTCTAATATTTCTATGATATTGCTCTACCTTTTACCCTGTTTCTGCCCTACCCCCTGTAATCCATAAAGTTCTCCTTTGTGACCGGTGTGGGAGACTTATTGAGGAGTGGGTCTAAATTATGCCGAGGAGGCCCCTTAGGTCTGTGGACTAAGGGAGGCTTCCCTAATCAGCCCCTGACTTGGGGAAGTGCCCCAAGTGCCTGTATTGGGTCTAGTACCTATTGGGCGACCAGGCCTGTGTTCTCCAAGGTGCGCAGAGCCAGAAGTGAGTCCAGAGCCTTGGATGGTGGCAGCGGGAACCCCAGGCTAGCGGGTGTGCTCCAGTGAAGGGGTGGGCCAGACGTGAGGCACCCCAGGGAGGCACTCGGAGCCTGGAAGGTGGTCGGGTGCAGGGAGGTGGGCGGCTCCACGCAGGAACGCCCCCTGCTGGCCCGCCACACGTGGTGGTAGCGATGGGATCCGAATACCCTGCTGTATTGAGGCATAATTTGGGGAAAGGAATAGAGTCACTGAAATCCCTTGAGCAAACAATTTCTAATTTGGCATCAGGTCAACTGGATAGTGTAGAGAGTCAGGATGGCGGACGAGTACGTCCGGATAACTGTGCCCGAACTGAAAGAACTGGCAAAACAGAGAGGCCTTCACGTGAAGAAAGGGCTAAAGAAGGATGAGCTGATTAAACTCTTGTGTACCGGCGAGTCAGGACCAGCGTCAGCTTCACGCTCGTCAAGTCCGAGCGTGGGAGGCACTCGGAGCCTGGAAGGTGGTCGCGTGCAGGGAGGTGGGTGGCTCAACGCAGGAACGCCCCCTACTGGCCCGCCACAAACTACACAAAAAACTACTGAAGGTATCTGTCAAAGAACTGTTAACGGAACAGACAATAGCAAACGTGTTAATAGAAAATGTGTTAAAAATCAATGTTAAAAATCTAATCCACACACATGGAATTAACTAACAGAAACTAATCTTCCTTGCTCTATCATTCTAATGTCATTGCATTTTAACATCCACACTTGTACATTGACTACTTAAACTCTTTACTTACTGCTTGCTAACCACCTACTAGCACATTTTTGGTTTTTGTAAACAACAACATTAGTGATTCTGTAATACTTAACTACTTATAAGTTTAAAGTAAATCCTTTTATGGCCCCTCCCTTGTGACCTTGTATCCCCCCTGCCAAAGAACTAAAGAAAGTTGGAGATAACTGTCGACAGGTGCATACAGTATAAGGATACAGCTGAAAGGATGAAGTTAGGAACCCCCCAATACATTACTTTACTGAAGATTTTAGGACTGTATGAAAATAAGGTTGGAGGGAATTTCAAAAGATCATCTACTAATCCAGCCCCATGATCAAGGCATGCCTGAATAAACCATCCCAGGTAAGTATCTATCTAACCTGCACTTAAAGATT